TGACAGAGCCTGTGTCTACAGCGTCTTCGAATGTGTCCTGATACCGATCATAGGAGTCAGCAATTTCCACAACACGGCGTCGATGTCCCATGGGCTAGCTTGGGAGGGTGTTGCAGTAAAGGAGGAGCCGGTTGTGCAGAGCGTCTACATACCGTGTCCTTGTCCGAGGGGGCTGGCGAAACGTCTCGTTCGACCAGCGATATAGGGTCTTGGGCGGAAACTGGTTCGTCGTGTGCTGACATAGTGGCGGGCGGCGGTGGATGAAAGGAGGGTATATTGGGGTCGGATAGTGAATTGGAAAGCAGAAGCGGGCGTCGTCGCGCGTATCCGTATAGTAAAGTGGTATCGTAACTTAAGACGTCCGGGCCATCTGCAGGGTGCACATGCACGTATCGTTCAGGAGATATCTGTAGGCTGTACCCAGAGCGGACAATGCAACGTAGCTTGCTTGCTTCCCTATCATGTACTTAGGTAGGTGATGCAGCGTCGAGGTCGGAAAGAGGAGGAAGGGGGGAAAAGAGGTAAAACAATGTTTCTGAGTGTATCGTCGAGGCTCGCAGTGGACAGTAGAAGAAAACAAAAAAAAGAGGCAGCAAGCATGAAAGAAGTAAAATTGAGTTACTCGGTTGAGTGTGGTCTGTTTGTTGCGTCTTCCCCCTTGAAATTGATTGAATATTGACTGACAGTTGGCCGACTGGGATCAGCGAACAAAACCGGTCCCACTACGAAGTACTTAGCAGGAAAGGTACATGCAGACACACAGCCCGTGTCGGGAACGCGCCAAGGTTTGGGTAGGCACAGATGTATCTTTTGTACACCTGAGATTCCGATATGTGTTCTTCGATTGGCATGCCGGGGGGGCTTCTGACGCGGTGTTGGAATTGCTGGAATCGCCCATTAATTTCAGGGGTTGCAGGTCTAGAGACTCAGCTAGAGGCGGCTGGGTGCCCACACGGCTGGGCTTTTTAGGGGCTAACGGGGCAGCTGCTTGGAGTCCTCAACATTGAAGTCCAGTACAATTCCAGGCTGTCAACAACCAATCAGCATTGCTGCAAACCGCGATTGTCCAAAAGCCTCCATCTCTACAGGAGTACCCTAGGTACCTACATACGTACATACATGGTAGGCACAAGCCGATCGATCAACTCGATTGAATGTTCAAATAGGAGGAATCGTGTCACAGGATTGTTAAAGACACTTTTGCCTCTTGTGACTGTTATCCATCCTTCCATGTTTGTTCCTGCACTTGGGTGCTTGGGTGCTTGGCCCCGAAGCTGCTGCGTGACATCACCGACCAATCTGACAGGCTTCCAGCCCTGAGTATTATTCTTCCATTGCCATGGTACTTGTTTCCAAGGTTCCAAGGTTGTTTCTAATTTGGGATCCCAAGAGGAACTTTGAGTCGTGCGAATGGCAGTCAGCGTTGCCATAGGAAGTGTGTTCTCTCCCGAATTCGATGAGGACCTCAGGAAGCACACTGGCACTCTAGAAATCGCAAGTGGTCAGTCCCGTCTTATCGATAGGCACATTATTACTATCGTCTCTGCACTGCAGGTCATCATCAGGCATTGAACAAATTGGTGCAGATCAAGCTTGATAGCCAGTCGATCACTTCAAGAAAGATCGATTATCTGCGCTGCGAAGAGAAGACCCCTGTTCTTTCCCGACTCCGTGGAATGACAACTCAACCACTCGACCTCAAGACTCTGATACGACCTTTGTTGTTTCATCAACAAATGCTACTTGCCGCCAATCAACGGATAATGGCCTCGCGGCTCAATTAAGCTCTCGCCACCTTTATCGAATCAGGAAAAGAACTACAAGGAAAGAAACATCTTGCATCTCATCATATTTCTGTATCTATTGAATGGATAGTGGGTAATGAGCTTGGAGCAGTCTTGGAACAACCTTGGAACATTTCTATCACGTTTTTGCCCACCGATATGGGTAGTAGATTCCTGGGTATCCTAACCGCGAAGAGACATTTATACGAATCTTTTCAACTCAGGAGGTGTATTTTTGAATTGGATGCATCTGGTGTGGCTTATGTACAGGGCCACCGAACACACCTCTGCCAATTGCGGAAACCTGCTATCATCGAGCGGCGTAGCTGACGAGCATCTCGATCAAAAAAAAAATCATTCGAGTTCAGGGCACAGAAGGCAGTCACGCTTCCTTACTCAACTGATAAGAGGGGGACTTCGTCCTTCAATCCGGAATCTAGAAAGCACTGGGCAGACTACCGATCTAGATAGGTATGATATCATCCACACTGCTGCCATGCTGCGAGTTGGGGGCATAGGTGTTCCTGGAGGATCTCGCGGGCTCAACATCACGCCAGCCTTGCAAGGCAGACTGGCGTACTGCCAGACTGCTTACCTTCAACCTATTCCCGCTTCACTCGACGAGCTGGTGCCATGTTGCTTTTTATAATATACGGTTCCGCTATGGGAATCCCGACTCCGCCGTTCGGCAACGTGCTGCCGGGTAGCAGAGATTGTCAGGTGAAAGAGAATGATGAGGTCTTTTGGGCCCGACAAGCTGTGTGGCTTATCCAAATTGACCTCGGTCATTCGATACAGAATAACAGTGATTCCCTTCAAGACTTGTTTTCTTCTTGATTTCGAGCTTACGGCTACGTGTCGAGAGTATACCTATCTACTTTAAGTCGTCGCTCACGTCATATCTAGTCAGACTTCCCGGGGTGCCACGTGTAGGATCTCTTGCGCCTCACGGCCGACTCCGCATATCTATACCCTAGGTATTCATGAAACATCAGACGAACCCTCTCGCGGGACCGATCCTCTTGTGAAGGCGCAAAAGGGAGCTGACTTGATCACCGATTATCTCTGTGAAAGAAAGTCAACGACCGCCCGTCACCCCTGATGTTGGACAGCCCGCATGTGCTGAACACCACATGATGGAAATTTGGTGCTTCAACTCCTTGGGAATGATGGACTCTACCATTCATTGCAAAACGCCTGTGTTGTCCGGGAACGATCAGAGGATTTCTACTGGGACAGACATACTGATGTGACGCTCGCAAAATGGGTACTACCGTGACGAGTGTATATCAAACCTTGAACTGATCGGTTGCTACCTGAAGGCCGTGTTCACATACGCATCATAGCTCAGATCTTCCCTAGTAGGCAAGTAATGTCCATTAGATGTCATATATTTTCCTCAGTGGATCATAAATGGGGTGGCTGAGGGTTTTGAAGCTTTGAGTATTTTACATCTCGTTCGTCTGCTGGGAGGCATCTAGGTAGGTACCAAATATATCGACAACCAGAAGCACATACCTATGCAGTTTCTAGTGAAGAACCCGACGAAGTATTTCACTTGTAGTTTTTTCGACGATTCTCCATCTACAATATGCGAAAGCTGGTATTGTTGCCATGGGAAGGCGTAGCGAGATATCTGCCCTTGGCAACAAACAGCTGAGAACCTGTCTGTTCCGAGGAACCGCATGTCCAGGATTTCCAAGAACCCATGAAGTGACCTGTCTTGCTCCAGAATATAGATGAACTGTAACATGAGTAATATTCGTCGTGAGATGTGGGCATGTTGGTGGATTGCTAGGGAGGCAATGTTCGAAAAGGGGAACAATCCACCTATGGCATACATATTCAAGTACTATTCCAACAGGACTCCATTTCCCCTGATTCCCATCTCACGGATCACACATGATGAATAAAAAATATAAGCTTTGCGCATCGAAAGTTCGCTTTCATGATATTCGACCTCCTCGAAGCAGAAGTGGCCGGTCTTCCCCGTGGCCGGAGGATGTTCTCCAAGTCAACAGTTCCGCATGCAGGTCGGCGTCCAACAGTACGCCCCCGAGAGCTGCTGTATAAGTAGACACCTAGGAATCCATTCCCGGGTATGTGGGTTATCGTATACACGAATATGGCAGCTGCACTTGAGCTAAGATATCCCGGACCTAGTTATCTGGCGAATGGACAAATCAAAAGGGGGCATTTAGGAGTCTGCCGAGTACTTCCAAGGTTGCCCTCAAGTCTCTGACCTCGTCGTATTCAATCAAGTGGATATTCCCTCCAGTGCCAGGCATCTGGTCTACCCGCCCACATTGGAACAGTGTAGATTGGTGTCTCAACCTTGACGGTGGTCGACGTTCATGTCCCAGACTCCCAAGTCGGTCCTTGAGACACTCTGCCTGGGCTTCACTCAACTGGCGGTTGGGACGAAGTGGAGATAATAAAATAACGCGAATTTCACTGGAGGGCCGGAGCGTACCACACCTGCATGATGTAAGTATTGAAAGCAAGTACGGACCACAAGGTTGTTTGTTACTTCCATACATGTAGTTGGGTAGGACATCAAATGGAAGTCACGCATGGCCATTTGGAAACCGATCCCGAACTATGTTGAACCCGGCCTCCTCAAGTCTTTTTCCTAGTCGGATTGGCATCCGAATCGCCCGAGCGCACCGAGACCCCTGACAAACCAGCCCTGAGGATATTGGGACCTGAACGCAAGAATGACCAAGAAATCAGTTCAAGAGCGGTACCAACGACCGCGCCAGGTTCATTTGTTCTAGCAGTAGATCCGACCGAGTTGTCGTGTGAGTGATGCATGCAATATGTGTCCGATTCTGTCCAGTCTCTAGTCCGGGAGGGGGGCCAAACGAGATGTAAGCAACCTTCGAAGTACTTAACATCATTTACAGGACGCACTCGCCCGTAAGTAATGACACGAGTTCCGGCTCTACATCTCCGGATTCCACATGTAGGTACAGTATCCCCGAGAAACTTCATTTTCAAGTCGCAGCTCTAATAATATTTCTAGATACGTTCTCGAATCACTCTAGAGAAAGTCAGAGGTCAGGTTCATATCCATTGAACCCCACCAAGTCTTGGGCCCTCCCGCTTATCCGTACCTAACCGTCCACGATATCGGCCCGCGTTGAGCCATGATGGCTATCCACCACGGATTAATCAATATCAGGTAGCTCAGCGCGAGGATTATCAACAATTTCCGGGCTTGTGGTCTAGTGGTATGATTCTCCCTTAGCATGGGAGAGGTCCGGGGTTCAATTCCCCGCGAGTCCAACTTCGATTCTTTTTCCCGATTTGCTGTCTTCAGTTTTTGCCGTTTCTCCCATTGCCGCGATATCGCTGGGGTCCATCCGGCCCCAGCAGATTTTCTCAGCGTGGGAAGGTTCTCTTGTATCATCAGAGGTCTAAAAATGCTATCAGGGCTCTCTTCGGTAGATACCTATCTGTGTCTTGGTCAAGCACATTGCAACATGTAACTTTATTTCTTGGCGAAACGCCACGGGGAAACATAGTCTGGTTGCTCGTTAATCTTTGGAAAACACGAACAACCTTCTTGCATGCCAACGGGAAGTTCGTTGTTCTTTACGCAGTAGCTTACTCCGTACATACCCGGCTCTACAAAGACACATTCGTAAAATGGCGTTACACGCATATTCAGTGCGCCACGACTTTGCCAGTCCCTCAAGGCTTGGATAACTGCCTAGACGAGTAGATAGATGGATGATTGAAAGTGTGTACAGCTGAATCGAAGCGTGAATAGCTGGCTAGGGTTAGAAGAAAAATAGGAATAAGGGGTTCAGGGAGGTGGGCATGATAAGAACCTGACAATCAATAGGAGTTATAGGTCACCTCAGTGAATCAATAAACGTTTGAATACGCAAGTAAATGACTTCTGAATATCTACTACTTATTGAGACAGGTTGTGTTTTCCTCATACAGTGTTTGTAGACATTCACCTGATCAAGATCTCGTATCTAAAAGCTTACCTACAGTAGCAGACGTCCCCCAGAGACAGGCGGACGATGGAAACGTACCGATAATGCCATTTGATGAATTCATGCCTCTGTCAAATCCAACAGGTAGCTTCTTCTTCCACTGTCATCGCTTTTTTCCCCTTTTCTCTTGAAATGTTGGCGAAGCATCATGGTAGGATATAACATAAGGCATGTAAGCAATGCCAACAAGTCGAATATCTTGTAATAGGTCTAGGTACTTAAAAATCAAAATGTTCTCAAGAAGTGTATCTCGGAGTAGCACCAAGGACGGCAAGGCCCAGGCAGTCTTCATGTCAGTGGGTAGAAGCTGATTAATTCCATGAAAAGTGATGCTTAGTAGCTGGAGATCCGCGATATTGGAAGGTTCGAAGCAGAGAGAGCCTGCCCGAGAAATACTCATCCACCTGGGTACTCCGTACCTGGCTAATAAAAAGGTACCTACGCACTTTTTTAAGGTTGTAGCAGGCTTAGGCTTCTAGGTGTGTTCGTCAGGCTGTCAGTCCGCCAAGTCAGAGAGAATTCCGGGGCACTTGAGCACCTCCAGGGCTGGGCATTGCGTTGGCCAAAGCTCCAAGCTCCACTGGGCACCTGCAAGCCGATGTAGCGGGACAACAGCGCAATCATTACGCAAGGTCAACAATTCTATGCTGCTGGCTTGCCGCTTCTTTTAAACCTTGAACCATTTTCTCTTCTCTTCCGACAGCCACCAAACTCAACCCGCTCCTCATCCATCATCAACGAACAACACCACACATATCAGCTGCCAGAAGCCGAAATCGAAAATCTTCGGCTTCCTTTGGTTCATTCGTCGCCCTCAACCTAGTTCTTCGAGTGCGGAATCCACGGATCAGCGGCCTGCACCCGTCTGGACCTGCCGATTCCCAGCTTCGTCAGAGCGCACCTCCAACCATCAACCGCAGCCTCCGCCCCTCCCCCATCAACCATCCATATCTCAAACCGACGATCCCCTTCCCGTAGCACGCGACGCCTCGGACACGACTGTCCCTTCTACCTATACACTCGTTCGGTTTCCACCTGGACGGTGACAAGACTTACTGCAAATAGCTACGGGACGACAGGTTCGCAAGGCTGATCAACGCTTCGTGAGGCTCCCTCATTTCGGCACCCCACCTTGTGTACCGACAGGTATATACACATCTCACCACTGGAGCAGTCCAAGCTACTTTGGACAGCGCTCCGCAGCGTCGGGTCAAGTTGTCGTCTCCGACTACCTGACCATCGGTAGTGGAGGGGGAGCTTGATACTTTCTTTGCGGCTCTGCCGCCCCGACCTTCATCATGGGAAGGATAACGAAACCCCTTCTACCTAAGCAAAAGGAGACCTTTGTGAGTAGCTCAGTCAGCCTGCATGTCCAGCCATAGCCTAAGCTAACGTAACGCCTTCCAGTCATCATGGCTCCAAACGTACGTAGAGGAAGCAACCAACGCACCCCTGCCTCTGTTACCTAAAATTCTCGAGAATTTCCCCTCACGATGGCCTTTCCCCCGCGGTGATCTGTATCACTGGATTCCCCTGCTCAACCGATTCGACGATATTTTAGAGTCGTTTTGCACCACCTACAAGCTCAACCAGGGTCCTCAGGCTAGAGACATCGGCTGTGAGGTCCTTCTGAAACATGACTGGACGGTGGATGCGAACAAGGGGTCCAAGGAGAACCAGCTTGTTGACTTAGGCTACGGAGATGACGGTGATAAGATTCTTGTCGTCGCCATCCTGAAGTTCACGCAAATGCTACTGGACCATTGCGGCAACCGAAGCATCTACGCCAGCAGCTCTCACCTGAACGATCTTCTCAACAGCACCGACTTCGAGATCATCTGCGCGACTCTCGGTGTTGGTGTAGAGCTGGCTCAGCGATATCAAGCTTCGGTCAAGCGTATCCATGGATCGACGACACGCAACTTGCATACGGCTCTCCTGTCAAATCACTACAACATCGATCTGGAACGTGTGAGACAGATTGCCCAGCCGTTTGTCAAGACACCCATTATCAGGGGCCATGACTCATTTTCTGTGTCTACTCCTGCTTCTAAAGGAAAAGACCGATTACAGGGGGGTATCCAGAAGAATGTGGCTAGCATGCTAGCTAATGACCTTTGCGCTATCGCTAAGGCCGACCCGACAGATAGTTCTGCGTCAACAGCGCGGTGGAATGGTTGGGGTGATGTGAAGGTAACGTACTATCCTACGACTAGTCCGTCTCAAGAGCCTGCGCGGCAGCCCTTGCCGGAGCGAAGCGCGACGAACGCACCCTCCACACCTACGCCCTTGAGGAGGAGCAACACCTCCACGGCTCCGCAATCAACTTTCCGTTCTGGTCGCCAGGGGCCGTCGGAGGATAACACAGGCTCCTCTTCCCGGTCTCCAGCGGTGGACCGCGGGGATAGTAATCCTCCTGGCCAGAGATCTTTGGAAGTTCCGGAGTCTGCAGTCGTGTCGACGTCGATCTATGAGCTCGTGAACAGACTACCTGCGGACGTACCTAAAGAAACGGCCTACGAATATTTCAACCGCCTGCGAATCGCAAAAGCGCTGACAGGTTCCGTCGAATCGCGACGACAGGCCCTGAAGGCACGGCTTTTGGCCATCCAGAATCTGGCGTATATTCATATAGAACCTACCTTTGTTGAGAAGGTGCTGAGGCAGGACAACGATGAGCCGCGCCGTTTTCAGCTTGTCTACCAACTTGCCGAGCTCATCCACCCCGGTGCCGACGGCGCTGCAGTAATCCCCTTGGATATCCAATCCATCGCACTGTCTTTACTGGACGCCATCTCAGCTTTCCACAGCAAGGTACCTGATATCTTCTCGGCCCTAAACGCAACGGTGAACCATGGTGTTCTGCTTTACGTGATCAGAAAGGCGGTTGCCGAGATGAAAGAAGACGACGCCGGCGAGCAGTGGACTGCCAAGGACGAGTGGCGTGATAACCTCTTTTCCCTCACCCTCCATATCACCATGGCGATGGCCGACACCACTGCCAGAAGCACACCAGAGATCATTTCGGCTGGGCTGTTGGAAATCATGGTTGAGATACTTAACACCAGGTCCAACATCGCTGAGCGGACTTACGGTACCCTTGTGGGATTTTTGGACAGTCTCATCTACAATGTGCAGAGCTCCTTTCAGAGTCTCATCAACGCCGGGGGTCTCGAAGCGATCACTAATCTCGTCACCCACGAAGTCGATCTCGCAAAGGGACTCATCTCCCAGGGGAAGGGTACATCCTCGTACCACCGTACCCAGGTCGTTGATTACGACATTCCCTTCTATCAACAGCAAAACTTGAAGTTTCTCCTGAAGTTCCTCCATCATTTGATGTCAAATGCGTTTTCATATGGTGGCAATACCGATCGCCTCCTCAGAAACCTTGTGGACAAATCTGACCTCCTCCAGAGCATCCGCGAGATCGTGGATAATCAGAAAAGGTTCGGCTCTCTAGTGTGGACTAACAGCGTCACAATCTTGAGCGACTTCCTCAACAATGATCCCACTAGTTTTGCAGCTATCTCAGAGGCAGGACTGATCGAAAGCTATCTCGAGGCTCTAACGGGTAGGTCCGTCAAACCAGAACAGGGTGACAAGCCCGAATCGACGCAAGTTGCGAGGAACGAGAACGAGGCCGGCTCGCCCGGTGCCGCTGCGGTTTCGGACGTGCTGGAGTCTGACAGCAGGTCGCATCCTCCTTCTGCGGAGTCACTAGACGAGACCCGGGGCCCCTTGGCTTGTGGCATCTTGCCGGCCTCCGATCCTATTTCCATCGTACCTACAGTCCTGAACGCCATTTCCCTCAATAATCGCGGCATGAAAATGGTCGTTGCGTCGCGGGCGTTCGACAGCTTCTTTGAGATATTCGAGAGCCCCGAGCATGTCCGAGTGATGAAGACCGACGAAGCTCTTGCCGGGACGATCGGTGGTAGTTTTGATGAGCTGGCGCGACACCATCCTCCACTTAGACCGGCGATCGCAAATGCAGTCCTCGATATGATCGCACGTGTCAATCATCTTGCTCAAACACGGGCCCGCAATCTGCAATGGGGCGCGAAACTCATTGTACGGGATTCAAGTGGCCGGGATGTGATCGCAGATCAGGGACTCCTGGGGGAACCGTCGTTGTTGGTAGACAGTAAGGGGAAAGGGAAAGCAAAAGCAAGCATGACTGCTTCGATCTCCGAAGATACAGATGTTGAGATGACAGACGTGAGCCTGTTCTCTTCTGGGCAACCAGATGAGCCTAACGGCGCGTCTTCGCCGCAT